TCCTGATGTGTCTTTACCTTGGAACATTCCACAAGCTATTATGTTGGCCTGGAATGTACTTGTCTCTATTTTGTTTCACTTGGCTAACTTCTACTCATTATTCACTTTTCTTAACCATTTAAATATCATATCCTTAGAGAAGCCATGTTTGAGACTTTCTAGTCTAAATTATTATAATGGTTCATATTCCTCTTTATTTTCTTTCATAATACCTAATATAATTTGTAATCGTAAATTTTTTCCTATATGATTATTTGTTAAATGCCCCCCTTCTTTATCAGGCTATAAGTTCCTTGGGGCAGATATTGCATCTTTTTTTGTCCACCACTGTATTCTCAGCAAGTATGTCTGAAATGGAGCAGACTTTCAGTAAACATCTGTTGAATCATAAATTTGAAAGGCTCGATAGAGTTCAAAAGTTGAAAATAGGAGATAAGGAAGTAACTGATGAAACAAGATACCTAAAGAGGCCATAGGAAATTAAATTCAGAGCATTAGATAGAAGATAAAGTATATGTACATTAAAAATAAAATGAGAGGTACAAAATCAATGATGGCTATAGAAAGTTAAAGGTTTGTTAGAATACATGTCTTAGGAGAGATCATATTAAATCGAGGTAGCCAGGAATGGTTTCTAAGAAGTAATTTGGCCAAAAGTGATGATTAAATTCTATTAATTACAATTTTTTACAAATTTATAAAAATAGACTCAGATGAAATCACTTGTTATAGGTTGGGTTCTCTGGGAAGCAAATGTTGAGCTAGAGTTAGAAGTGCAAGAGGTTTACTAGAGAGTAGCACTTGTGAAAGGGAAAGCAGGGGAGCAGTATTGGGCTGGGGAGTCATTAGACTGTCATGTAGGCCTAACAAAGCTTCTGTCATCCCAGCATTAAGTATGTACTTATACTATGCCTTGTTCAGTCTTTGGCTGAGGATAGGCAGGAGGAAGAGAGATTGCCCTGAGAATAGTGTAACTCCAGCCTGAAAGCTAAGAGAACCTAGGAGTTAACAGCTAGAGGCTGTCAGCTAACTACATGCTTTGCAAGTTGAGTAGTGAGTACTCCCGTGAAGGTAGATCTGAGCAGTGCACCTCAGTGACAGCCGTACATTATAGGATGTCCATTCAACTCAAGGTGATCTATAAATTTAATGAAGAATTTTTTTGACAAGCTCAACAAGCTTGTTTTACGTATTTGGAAGACCAAAGATTCACATTTAGCTAAGCCAAATTTGAAAAAGAAGAGTGAAGAGGAAGGATTTGCTCTATTACACATTAAGATATTCTATATAATGATGGTAAATGAAAACGACATGGTACTGGTGTAGCCACAGACAGAGACCAACTGAAGAAGTCAGAACCAGAGCCCCATATAAACGGAAATATGAATATGTGATTAAGACGGCATCAAAAATCAATGAAGAAGGGACAGACTGTTAAATAGAATTATAGAGAAAAATTGGTTTGCCATTTGGAGAAAAATAAGATAGGTCTCCACCTTACACCATGTACACCAGGGATCCTCAACCCCCTGGTCAAAGACCCGCACTGGTCCGTGGCCTGTTAGGAACCAAGCCGCACAGCAGGAGGTGAGGGGCGGGCAAGTGAGTGAAACTTCATTTGCAGCCACTCCCTAGCACTAGCATCACCATCTCAGCTCTTCAGAACATCAGGCATTAGATTTTCATAGGCATTCCAGTCCCTAGTGCCAAAAAGGTTAGGGACCACTAGTATATGAACGTATTCCAGAGAGGATAAAAACCTAAATGTGATTCTCTGAAGAGAGTAATGAATTGTAAAGCACAAGTAGAAGAAAATATAGAATATCTCTGTGATGTTGAAATGCAGACTGAATTTTTAAATAAGACTCCAAAAGCACCACTGAGAGTAATAAGGCTGTATTCAACAGCTAGGAGAGAGAACTGGAAGAACCTGAGGAAGACTTAAGTACACTCTGGAGACTATATCTAGTATCAGGGAAGCTAAGTAAACCATTAAGATATATAAATCTGTTAGGAGATATATCATTATGACTTGCTTATCCAAAATACTTTCCCCTGCCTCTACTTCCCTCATATTTAAGATGAAGTACTTATCCTTCAATAAGCATTTTTGAGTTCCAAACACTGTGCTAAGTGCAAGAAGTACAAAGAGGAATAAGCTTGAGTCCCAGTCTTTAAAGAGCTCATAATCAAGTTAGGGAGACAGATGAGAAAACTAAACAAAACATTTTATTTCCTATTCTGCAGATAGGAACCAAGAGGCAACTACCTTTGTCTAGGGCATCAGTGAAAAGTTGGTAGCTGAGCAAGGAGAAAAGTCATTCCACGCAAAAGGAACAGCACTAAAGAAGTCACAGGGCTTCAAAAGAGCATGGTGTGTTGAAAAATGTTAAGTCAGTAACCTAATGCTGAACATTCTGAAATATTTGCTACTGAATAGAGAGAATAGTCTATGGAGGCTGTTTTAGTCTTTTATTAGTAGCATTGATTATCACGTCAATTATCACCTTTGAAGGCAAAGCCAAAGAAGACGAAGCATTGAAGTGATTGAGGGATAAATGTTAATGGTTAAAGAGAGAAGCATGCTAGGAGGTAATAACTGTGGAAAGATAACAAGTACTGTTCCGCGGAGTTAGAGGAGCAAGAGATTCTATCAGCTACATTGGTCAGGGAAGATTTCATAGAAGTGGTAGGGCTTCATTTGATCATTCAAAAAACAGAGAACTGAGAACTGACTCTATCTCTTAGGGGCTGTGCTTGAAGCAGGAGATTTAAAATTGTATCCACTAAGGAACAGATACTCAGATAATAGAGGCAAGCAAAGGCTGATGTAAGAAAAACCTCAGAGAACTCTTGCTTTAGAGCAGAGAGGTCAGGGGTAGATTTCCAAAGGTGCTGTACTAAATTTTGATGGATTAGCAGAATTCCATCAAGTGAAAAGAAGAAAAACACATTTCGTAATGGCTCCATTTAACAAGAGAACACACCTCTTTCAAACAACATGAAATAGTTCAGGATGGCTGGAGCAAAGGCTTAAAAGCTCTGAAAGAAGTTTCTGAGGCAAATAGGAAGGGGTTTGATTATGAAAGGTCTTTCATAGGATGTTAAAGAATTTGGATTTTTATTCTGAAGACAATGTGGGGGTGGATGAAGATTTTAAGCCGGGAAGTGACATGACTTAGATTCAAGTTTCACAATAATTGCTATTAAAGGCAATGATGATGAAGGTAATTCAATATGAACTGATATGGGGGCAACCTGGAGATATTAAAAGAGGTAGAGAGATTAAAAGGCTGTTGCTATTGTTTATTAAAAATAAGAGAAGACTAAACACACAGTAGCAGTGGTATTCAGAGGATGGGTAAGGTTTGAACTGTCAGAAAAAGAAGTAAAGACATTCCCTGTGGAAATGATGTGAAGAGATGTTTGGAAGAGGATGGTGAGCAAATCAGTTTACCTGGAGTATATAGTATTTGACAGTAGAATGCTGATTAGTTTTAGAAGTCTGGAGCGGAGGGCCAGAGTTATGGAACAGTTGGTGATGAGGTTAAAAGTGGTGGAGTCAGCCAGAGGCAAATCTATTAAACAAATAGCCTAAACAATTCGAATTACTTTTCTCCTAGCAATATTAAATTTTAAATCATTTTTATTGCAGTAAAATATACATAAAATTTACCACTTTAACCATTTTTGAGTGTACAGGTCAATGGCATTAAGTACATTTGTGTTGTTGTGAACCATCAACATGGCCCACCTCCAGAACTTTTCAATCATCCCATACTGAAACTCTTTACTCATTAAGAAATAACTCCCCATTCTTCCCTACTACAATTCTACTTTTTGTCTCTAGGAGTTTGACTGCCCTAGGTACCTCATATAAGTGGAATTATATAATATTTGTTCTTTTGTGTTTGGCTTATTTCACTTAGCTAAATCACTTTAAACAACACCCTGGTTATTCAATAGCTAGATTCTAATTTGCATTCTACTCTGTATACTTTATTTTAAAACAAATGTCTAACTTTTCTTACTTGATCTTTTTCACTTTTATTAAGGACAGTTTGCTCTAGCAAAATATAAACCTAGAGTTCTTAACAACAATTTTGTGTCTGCCATAGAGAACTTTTTATTGGTTTACTCTTAAGTGGCTTTATATTATGAATTGTTTTCATTTCATTATAGTTTATGGGCACTAGACCTTTTGCAAAGTTCAACCTAGTACCTTAATGGTAGTAATAGCTAATAGAACAACTAAAGCAGGAAGCAACTTATTTGATCACTCAGAGAAGGGAAGTTAATTTATTTGGGATGCTGATATGAAGGCTCTCTTTTGAGAGTCTGTAATTTTCCTATCTGGGACTCAATGGCTCTAAATGAAGAGAATTAAAAACACAAAAACACACACTTATTTTTAGCTAGAAAAAGGCCTGGAAGTTTCAGATGGTTGGAAATTATTTGAGACCTGTCAAGGATATCTTGCCTTTCATTTGGGGAATCCCTAGGTCATTAGCGCTTTGCCAACAAGCGGAGTAATTTTGGACAAGACTAATCCTTTGGAGGTCTCAGTGAGTTAGACCAGCCCGTGCCTCCCAAACTTGTCCACATCACAGCACATAGAGAATGTGGTATTGCAGGACATAGGTAAACGGAGGAGACAGCGCAAAAACAGCTGGAACCTACTGGCGGCCCTGCGTCCCAGCACACACGGGTGTGGATGCTCTTAAGCAGCGCTCTAGCACGCAGGTTTAGTCTAGCTGACGCGCCATGGCTGTTATAAAGGACGAGCTGGGGCTCCCGATGTTTCTGAAATCAGCAGTCTTTCTTTTTAAAAAAAAAAAAACTAAAGTCTTTGTTCTTTAAGAGTAGTAAAGTGTAAACAGGCACCAAAACCGCAGACCACACAAATAAGCATAAAACAAACTACCGCAGTTGACCAGCGCACTCTCAGCTGAATCTTACGTCTCTTCCCAGCAGGCTCCGGGAGTCATCGCGAGACTTCATAAATTCTCGCGAGATTTATCGGCAGCCATCTTCTTGGGGGTGCTGGGAGCCGGGAAGACCCCCTGAATCCTTCCCATTGAGCTGCCCTTCGCCTTCATTTTCTTCACTTTTGCCTGTTCTGCGTTGCCAACAAGCATCTGATCCTGAGACTGAGAGAAAGTCTGGGTCTAGGCGCGTGTCGCGCTGCCAGTCCAGAAAGATTCGCTGGAGTGGAGGGAAGGGGGAGGGCCCGGATAAACCGTTGCTGCCTTAGCCCGGGCCGGGGTCCGGGGAGGGGGAGCTCCTGGCACCCTGTGGACTCGCGGCCTGCGGCGGTCCTCGCAGAACTGTTCACCGATCGGGACTCGCGGGTACCTGCCACCGGCGCCTCCCACCGCGGCCCACGCGGGTGGCGCGCGGAGGAGGGGGCGGGGGCAGCGGCGGCTGTAGCGGCCGCGACCTGGGCGGGCTGAGGAGTGTGACGGGCCCGGGGGCCGCTGTGGATGGTTTCTAAAATGATCATTGAAAACTTCGAGGCACTGAAGACCTGGCTCAGCAAGACTCTCGAGCCCATGTGAGTATCGGGGCTATTTTCTTGCAGGGATGGAAGTGGGAGATAGGCAGACACAGATCTATGCAGTTTCTTCCAAGTGCCTGCGGTGGAGGCCAGAGCGGTAAACGGAGGTCCCAGGGCTCTGTTTTTTAATTTTTTTTTTTTTTTTTCACCTCGTTCCCAGGTTCTGGATATTCTTGAAAGCCTGAGCTGACCTTTATTTTATCGCTGAGTTGGTTCTTGAACCCCTGTCTCCTGTTCTTGTTTTCCGGTTATAGGTAGATTTACCCCAGCACGCGCGCACACGCGCGCGCGCACACACACACACACACACACACACGCACGCACGCACACACGCATGCACACACGCGTAACGTTTGCCGGGGTCCTCACATATCGATTTCTTTTAGTGAATCTGAGCCTAACCTCCTTTCCACAGACTATTTTACTTTATTTAAACAAAGTGAGTGGACGTTATTAGGGATTTGGATAGTTCTAGTCTAAGCCACTTAACGTTTTACCTAGATACTATCTCTGAAAAAAAAAGGCCACGTCTCCCATGTGCTATCTGGCATATCGGCACTTCTTAACTGATGAGAGATGTAACAGGTGCTGAGGTGCTCGGTAAAATTCTGTTTTCCTACTTCCACGTTTGTTCGAGGAGGAAGAAAATGTAGTCTATCCATATGGACTATTTGACAGTTTTAAGTGGGATGCTGTAGATGCACTGTTTTGGGGGGGGGGGCTAGAGGGGATGTTCAGATTGTTGAAATGTTTTAGATTGGAAAATTAAGGAGTGTTTTAAGGATTTATCTCTTGACTACATAACAAATATTTTATGTGCCAAGTGCTTTATCAGAATTAGTTGATTTACAATAAACAACTTAAAGTACAGTGGGGAAAATGTACTCATTTAATAATTTATTAAGCACCTATTAGGTCTGTGGGAGGCTTTGAGGATAGAGCTTTCAAATTCCAAAGTCTACAAGACATAACAAACACAAGTTAGATAATTTCAGGTTATAAGAGCAATGATGGTTGTAATAATAGAAGATCATGTAAAAGAGTGATTAGAAGGCCTCTCAGAGAAGGTGACATTTGAGCAACTTGGGGGAAGAAGGAATCATCTCTGTGAAACTCTGGAAAGAGAGTGTTCTTTGCAAAAGGGACAGCAAGTGCGAAAGCCCTGTAGCAGAAGTGATCATGGTGTGTTCCAAGAAGAGAAAGAAGGCAATTGTGGCTGTAGGGGGAGATAGGAGAGAGAATGGAAGCGCATGAAGTTGGAGAAGTAGGGGCCAAATCATGTAAGATCTTCTAGGCTATGGTCAAGAGCTAGGATTTTATTTAAATTATAGTGGGAAGAGAAGTGATTTAAAACAGGCAAGGACTGATTTTATTTTAACCAGCTGCTTTGTGGGGATTAAAGAGTCAAGAATAGAGGCAAGGAGACCATTCTGAAGGGCATCGTAGGCAAAGATGTAGATAGTTCTGATAGTGGAAACAGAGAACTCAATATATTTTATAAGCAGATCTGATAGAACTTGCTGTTGGATTGCATATGGGAGATAAGGGAAAGGGAGATCAAGGATGATCTAGGTAGCCTAAGTAACTAGATGGCTGATGGTAAAGAAGGTTGAGGGGAAGAGTGAAGGGTCGTTGGTTTTGATCATTAAGTGTAAGGTGTTATATATCTAAGGGAGATGTCGAATAGGTATTTAGGTATATGAGTCTGGAACTCGGGCCAGAACTAGAGAAATTTGGAGTCATACAGATAGTATTTAAAGCCATAGAACTGTGGGAGATTTCTTAGGAAGAATGTGTAGATGAGGAAGAGAGCCCAGGTCTGAGGTAGGGAGAAAATTGAGGTATCTGTTACTAAAGAAATGTATGACAAAAGAGGCAAGTTAGCTTAATGGGATGCTGCAGAATGGATGAAAAAATTATAGGCAGATAAGTGGCCCTTAGATTTGCAAGGTAGAATTCATTGGTGACCTTAAAATAGTTTCACTGGAATGGGGTGGCATAGATAAAAGCCCTATTTCAGTGGATTGGAAAGAGGGGGCAGCGGTGCACAATGGTTATTGAGAGGGAAAACTCTAGAACCAGAAGGGCTGGCTCTGAAATCTTTCTCTGCCACTTAACAGCTATATAATATTGGGTAAGTTACTTAACTCAATGCCTCTGTGTCCTTATCTCCATAATCAAGAAAATAATGAATATGTATTAAAATCTTTGAACATGGCTTGGTTTTACTAAGCACTCAATAAGTATTAGGTGAACAGAAAACTTAAAAAAATACTGAGTTGACTTTTTTTAAGCTTTCAGTTTTTAAATTACTTGCTTTACTACTTTTTCCTTTTTTCTCACCAACCTAAAAATTTATAGTTATTTATAGCTACTTAGTGTGTGTGCTTATAATTTTTCTTCTGTCTCAATAAAGCATATTCCAGGTGCCATATAGCCTACTCAGATGACTAGCCCTGCAGTGATTACTGTTTGAATAAATAAGGCACTAATAGTAGAACCCAGGCAGCGGTAGGAATTGGGATTGGTCATTTTGTAACGTACATTGCTGTGGTAAAATTGAGCCCTTATCCAAGTTCCTGTCCTTAAATTGCATTTCAGGTGAATTCTTTTAGATAATGACTTTTCAAGCTGATTCCAATTATTTAATAAGACCCGTGGTTTCTAACCTTGGTTTCGTGAAACTAACGTATATTTGTTAACTGAAGGGATTTTTTTGCTTTGCTTTAAAGCTATATAATTGCCAAATAGCACCTGTTGGAGGAACATTTGAAGGACCAAGGATAAGATGTCACTCAAACTTGTATAGAACCTTTTAGGTGCTTGTGCTAATAAGGCATCTCATGGTTTTGAACTTACTCCACATTTTGAATATATTAATTCAGCAAACATTTATTGAGCACCTAATGTACTCTGCTAAGCAATGTGTTAGATGTTGGGAAAATAGGAAACAAAACATGAAATGACTATCTTCATATTAACCATTTAGCAGGTAATAATGATGTTGAACTCTGTACTACAAGACTGAGTGTTATGAAGTCCATAATGTTGTCCAAATATATGTCTGGGAGGTCAGGAAAGGCTTTCTTAGCGTTATTAAGTTTGACCTCAGCCTGAGAAGATGAAGAGCAATTTGCTGGGGCAAAATGATGGGAATGGAGAGCTGTGAGAGCATTCTAGGTTTTGGGGAACAAATTGGATGAATGCACTAAAATGAAATAAAAAAAGGCATTTTGGAGGAACTGAAGGAAATTGAAAAAAGAATAGAAGGAAGAATAGCATTGGATAGCTGTGGAGAGAGGACCCAGATCATATAAGACTGTGTTGAGTCATGTTAAAGCTTTTGAATGTCAGTGAAAGATAATAGGAAGCCAGTAAAGTGTTTAGGGCAGGAGAGTGTTCAGATTGACGTTCAAAAAAAACTTAGCCTGATTGCAGTTTCAGCATGAAATAAAAGCTGATAAGCCTATATTTTATTTGATTATGAGGTCTGTAGGTGAATAAGTGTTAAAATGAATTATTGAAAATGTAGGTGTTAAAATTATTTTGAAATACTTAGATTGATATTTTGTTCTCTCAAACATTTGCTTAGTCATACTTGCTAATAAAATTAGATATTGGTTTTTCCTCTAACCTTTTTTTTTTTAAATGTGAAGTCCTGGACAAAAATTTAAGCTTTTTTTTTTTTTTTTGATGTTCAATTTTTCTCTTTTCATTTTCTAAGTAGAAGTTTTCCTACTATATTTTAAAACTTTTTAATGAGTTTACACAGTACGAAAGTTGGTAATTTAATAAAATCATTAACTCTTAGCTGAAGGGAACCTTAAGAACTAATCAAACTCTTTAGTTTTTCAGAAGATAAAATTGAAAGGCGGATAGACTTAATGATGTGCCCAGATTTTGTGAGTTTAGTAGGAAAGAACAGAATGCCTAATTTTGTGTCCCTGCTGCTATGTAGTGCTGTGAAGGTAGTATTGTATAGTAGAAAGAAAATAAGTCTTGTGTCCACATAGACCGATGTTCAACTCTTAGTCGTGCCACTTGTTGACTGAGTACTGTAGGCTGATGAACCTCCTCTTTCCTTACTGGTATAATAGAATTATACTTGTTTCCTTCTATAGTTGAAAGGATTAAATGAGGCATATTTTTAAAAATCTTTTTTCATCTTTTGCTTCTTAAATTTAATTTTCAGTTAACATAACATTTAATATATTAGTTTCAGGTATACACCATAATGGTTAGACATTTATATCATTTATGAAATAATCCCCTTGATTAGTCTAGTACTCACCTGGCATTATACTTAGTTATTGCAATATTGTTGACTATATTACTTATGTTGTACTTGGGAGGCATATTTTTTAGAGCCTAGCCATTTCCTCCTCCTTTAAATACTAGTTGATTAAACACAGATAGATTACATTACTACTATTGCTACTGTTCCTATTATCACTACCGTTGCTGCTGCCACTGCCACTGCCACTGCCACCTAACATTTGTATGCATTCTTAAAAGTTTTGCATTCTTCCAAGTTCTGTGAAGTAAGCATTGTTACCTCCATTTTGCAAGTGATGACACTGAAGCACTAAAGCAAAAATTAAGATACTTGCCCAGCATCACACAGTTAGCTATGCATGTGCCTAAACAGTGATTTAAACTCAAGCTTCTTGACTCTGGATTCGTGTTCTTAATTTACTACTACATAATACAGTGTATTCTTTCCTATTACTGTATATAATCTTTTTATTATTACAAAACAAAATTCTAAAGCATTATAGTTATCTCTGCTTTAGAGTTAAAGAAACCTCCTTAGATCTTTTGTAGTCTTTCCCCCTTCACCCACACTTGTTACTGTACCTTTCTTACCACATTAAAATTTATTTTTGTTCCTGTATTACAGGAAGAACTGAAAGGTGATTTTTTTACTTCTGAACTTTACTCCTGTTTCTCTTCTTTGATCTTTTCCTTTCTACAGATTCCTTTGGGCATAGAAAGTC